AAAGGAACTTCTTAGACTATTTTGAGATGTTTTACTCTGTAGAGGAAAGATATGAATGAAAGAAAATACTTTACCCTTAGCTTATAGACCCTCTTTCCCCACCAAACTCCTATTGGGCCTATATCAGCTTCCACATTTCTTTTCTTGGTGGTTTCATTTAAGGAAGATCAAATGCCTATAATTCATTTTCAATAGAAAAGACCTGTCTGGGCTTTCTCGCATAGAATATCATAGATCATCTTCCTAGACTGTCTGAGGTCTTTAGTTTATTCTCAGGGAAGACACTACAAAAGAACGCTTGATGTTGTTGAAAAATCTTAAAAAAAACTAGAATGTAATAAAGGTAGCCCAGGTACTACTATTTCACAAAATTGTTTTCAACACAAAATAACCAAACCCCAACCTAAAGCCATCTACTTAAAATAGCATCCCTCAGCCAGTTCTTGGATAACAGCTTAGCTTAGCTCTAATGTATATTCCAATTTTGTACTTCAACTTAATGACTAAATATCAGAGGGATATAAAATACTTTATACAAACAGTTTATTTATAAGGAACAACACTTTATTATGAGCAACCCCCATTTACAGGTGAAGAGGCATCAAATTGATTATACAGCCTAGGTTATCCCTAAAGGAAAAGGAAAGAGAAAGTAATCTAAACTTTTTGTTGTTGTTGTTATTGGCTCAATTTCTCTCAGTCCACAGAAAGTGGCCAGTTGGTTGCCCTAATTCTTCAGTTTTTTTGAAAAAGGACATCAAGGAAATCTGGTTGCTGAATTCCCAACTATTCCTTCTCTGACCAATTAATTACGTTTTCCTGTTGTTTCTGTGCTTGGTTATTAATTCTGATTCTCTAGAAAAGTGATGTCTGTGGCTATTTATCTTAAGCTAGAGATGAGAGATTAATCCCAGAGGCGAAAGAGCTCCTTCTATTAACCCCTTAAAATATGTTCTTTTTTTGAGAGGAGGGCTTTTCGTCCTCAATCCATCATGCTCATCTTCATCCTTCTCACCCCTAATTCCAATTCTGCTTCTAGTCATTAATTTCAGAGTCCCCCTGATGACTTGGTGCATCAGGTCTCCTAACAGGGACTTGATATACTCTTACCTACACATGGTACTGTCCAGCCCAGAAAGAACACTGCACTTGTCATTGGTGCAGTCTTGGCTCTACTACTTAATAGCTCTATCATGTGGGTTAGCCAATTCATGCTGCTGATCCTCAAGTATAAAATGATGAACTTGGGTTAGGTGATTTTCAAGGTCTTTTGAGTTCTAATTGTAGCCTTTTGTGTGTCTAGTCCAGCCTGATTACAGTCTCAGATCTTCTGAAAAAACAAATTATATAGCCCAGTTTTCACTACCGAACATCTTCCATTTATTGTCAAGAACTCACAACCTCTTTTGATGAAAAATTTTCACCTAAACTTTTTCAGAGAACAGTTTGTCTAGAAGGACATAAGAGCAGTGATATTAACATAAAACTTTTTCAAATATACCTGAATATGCTGCCTCAGCCCACTGCAAATTTATGTTAACTTATCTTAACTAGACCCTCACTGTAGTTAGGCAACTATTATATTTCTCCCTAATTGATTTGTTATCTCACTAGGTTAGCCACTATAAACCTCATTTCCCATCAAGCTTTTCATTATACTCCTTTCCCACTCTCTTAGCAGAGGGCCTTATCTCGTACTTTTCAGAAAGAAAAAAGAATCCATTTGCCAAAACCATCCCCATTCTTCACTTCATCATCATACATCATATAGACATCTTTCTCCCATTATCTCTTCTTTCACTCTATTGTCAGATAAAGAGATGTCCCTCCTTCTTCCTAAGCCAAATGTTTCTATATGTGCCCTTGATCTTCTCCCCTCCCAGACTTCTCCAGCAAATTGACCTCATTCTCATTCCTACTCTTTCTTATCGTTAATCTCTCCCTAGTAGTTCATTCCCTACTACCTACAGACATGTCAACATCTCTTTCATCCTTAAAAAACAAACAAACAAAAAAAAAACCACACTTCTCCCTTGATCTGACCATCCTAACTAGCTATATTCTGTATCTGTCTTCCCCTCCTCAGTTAAACCTTTTTTCTGGGGGGTGGAAACACCAACAGAAACAAAAACAAAAACAAAACCCCTAGAATATCAAGTATACCAATCTCTTTTCCTCTAATTCTTCTTAACCCTCTGTAATCTGATTACTGACCTCATCATTTAACATAAACTGCAGTCCCTAAAGCTATAGATGATTTGTTAATTGCCCATGGCCTTTCCTCAACCTTTATCCTTCTTGACTTTATGTAGAATTTGACTGTTGATCACCTTTCCTTACTGGTTACTGGCCACTCTCTAGGATTTTATGACATTATACTCTCCTCATCACCCTCCTATCAGTCAGCTTCTTCTTACCATATTTTCCTGGTTCTTTCATGTCGTTCCCACTATTTGAAGATGTTCTTCAAGGCTCTGCCCTGAACCCCTTTCTCTTTTCAATCTCTACTGTCTCACTTGATGATCTAGTTAATTATCATCTATGTATGGATGATTTCCACTTCTATATATCCAACCCTAGTCTCTCTCCTTATCTTCAGTATTACTTCTTTTATTGACCTTTGAACATCTTGACCTTAATGTTCTTCAGCCATCTTAAACTCAACATATCCAAAATAAACTCATTTTCTTTCCTCCTAAAACCTTAACCTTTTTGAATTCCCCTCTCACTGTCAAAGGCACCAACATCTTTCCAGTTACCCAAGCCTCAATTCTCAGTATCCCCTGAATTCCTTTTTCTTACTCACCTTACATAAATACAATTAATTTCCATATTGTGTAGGCATTTGGTTTTTTTTTTTAACCTTCACAACACTTCTCTATTTAGCCCTTTCTTTCCACTCATACAGTTACAATCCTAATTCAAGACCTTATATCTTGCTGTCTGGATTACTGAAGTAATCTTAAAACTGTTTCCTGACCTTTTCTCTCCACTCTAGTACATCCTCCAATCAGCTGCCAAAGAAATTTTTCTAAAGTGTATGTCTGATGATGTTACCACCATACTGACTCAGGAAACCACATTGGCTCTCTATGACCTCCAGAATCCAATATAAAATTATCTTTTGGTATTTAAACATCTTTAGAACCTAGTCCTTTCCCTAGACCTTAGGCCTAGACTACTTGAAGTTCCTCTAACATGCCACTCTATCCATAGTCTCTGTTCCTTTTCATTGGATGTCCTGCATGCCTGGAATGCCCTAGCTCCATTTTGTCCACTTCTTAGTTGCCTTAACTTCCTTCAAGTCTCAGCTCCAAGCTCAGCTTTTGCAGGAGGTCTTTCCTGGTTGCCCCAAATACTTGATGCCTTCCCTTATAAATTATGTTCCATTTGCTCTCATCTATGTATCTAGTTCTTTAAATGTCATTTTCCTTCTCTCATCACTCCCATGAGAATGTAGTTTCTTTGGGGGCATTGAATATTTTCTCTTTCTGTGTATGCATAGAATTTCACACAGTACCTGGCAAATAGTAAGAGCTTAATTCATGTTTGTTAACTAGCAGTTTTTTTCTACTTGAGATTATATGGCCTATACGATTTAGTTTAGATTTTCCTTCACATTCTTCCTTCTGTCTCCTTTCTTCCCTTTCTCCTCTCTACTCTGCAACATCCTTGTATTTTAAGCTCCTCACCTCATCCTTCAGGGTATCCTAATCCTCTCTGTTTTCCTGTCACTAATTCTTAGTTTATCCTTTTGTAATTTTCATATTGGGAGGAATCTGATGAACTCAATCACCACAGATTGTCAATGATTGACTTTCCCTTTTCTAAAGTCTTTATACTTTAATAGAAAACAAAATCTGTAAGAGAATAGACATCTAATTGCAGAATTTGGCAAGGCTGGGTAGCTTGAAAATATACCATTTAGGTTGTTGCCTTTTCTTTCTGAAACTACTTATGTTGCTGAATAACCCAGATTTCTATGTACTGATGTGATATTAAGCATTAAAATGATATGGTTGAATTTAATTTGACAAACATTGGTTAAGTACGTATCCCATCTCAAGATCTGTGTCAAGTTATGAGAGATACAAAGAAAAAAGAAAAAAAATGGTCCCCTGCCAGCAAGGAGTTTAATTCTATTCAATGACTGTACTTCCCCCCCACCCCAAGAACCTTTAGAAATGGGATTTTTTTTTGATAGTTAATACGTGATCACAGTAGCTAGGTGACAAAGTGGATACAGTGCCAAGTCTGGAGTCAGGAAGACTCATCTTCCTGAGTTCAATTCTGACCTTAGACACTTACTAGCTATATGACCCTGGGCAAATCACTTAACCCTGTTTGCCTCAGTTTCCTCAGCTGTAAAATGAGCTGGAGAAGGAGATGGCAAAACAGTCTGGTATCTTTGCAAAGAAAACACCGAATGGGGTCATGAAGAGTAGAACATGACTGAAAATGGCTAAAAAACTAAAAGAGATGATCCTGAAGGAAGGTGGACTGGAAGTCTTCTCAAGGTCACCCTCCTCAAGGCACCAGTCATGGGATTCTTTTATTTTTATAACCATCATTATAATATATAATCTTTAAGAAGATGAAGGTTGATGGGCTGTGGCCTACCCTGGACTTTGATCTTAAATGGAGAAACAAAAATTAATGGCCCTGCCTCAGAGGAGAATGTAGTTCATTCACATGGCAGTGTGCCATTAGGTAACACTCTATGATTTGTAGTGTCTGTCTCTGCTTCCTCTGAAGTGAATGAACTATTTTAAAGAATAACATTGAATAGATATATATATATAATAATAATAGATGATAATAATGGATTTCCCTGGACTTTCATATTTTTCAAAAGACTTTCATATGTAGCTAGAGTGTCTCATTTGACTTTGTGGTTGAAAATTCATAGTAATGGAAATTGCAGTTATATGTATGTACATGTTGATTTAGGCTTAACTTTTATTTCTCCTTCATCCCCCATTTTCTCTTATGTTTTCCAGCTGCAGAAGGAATGGTATGTAATCTTCTGTGTTCAAGTGATGGCTGCTGGGGGGCCAGGTCCAGACCAATGCTTATCCTGTAAACGTTTCAGCAGGGGACGGACTTGCATCGAGTCCTGTAATCTCTATGATGGGTAAGAAATATTGCTCACTATCTTTTGTCCCATGAGTTCTCAGCTAGTTCCATCACCTTTCAGATGATAGCAGTCTAATAAACTTTCAGAATGTGCATATTGCTCAAGGTTTTCAGTGCACATTAGATACTTAACAGCCTTTGCTTCAGGGGGCAAATACTTTATAGAAATTTACAAAATATTTCTTTAGAAAGGAAAAAGAAGGCATATTTGAAATAAAATTTCTGAGTAATCCAAGTAAGATATCTAAAACTGTGTTGTCAGACTCAAATAGAAATGGATCTCTCTTGGCCACCCATTGACTTAAAAAACACACACCAATTAAAATTATCTGTGTTTTATTGTGTTTACTTATTTTGTTAAATATTTCCCAATTAAATTTTAATCTGATTCCTGCTTCACTGGGGACTCATGCATCCAGTAGGCTATGAGTTTGACAACTCTGAACACACATTTCTGAAACAATTTTGTGAGTAGCATGTAGGTCTGATTCAGTAATGACAATTTAAATAGGCAGCTTGGATAATACATATAATTCTAGCATATTACTTGAAACATGGTTGTCTCTAGTGTTCTTCCTTTTCCCTGCCCTTAGAGTCTGCATTCTAAACTTTATATCCGTGTTAAACTTCCCTGTATTGTTTATAAATGTACAGTGAATACCCCCGACTATAACTTTGGGTTAGATCAGTAATAACAGTAACTGATTTTCCATACGGTTTTAAGATTTACAAAATTTTTTATATACATTATTATCTTACGTGAGTTTCATGACAATCCAGTCAATTAGGTTAATTTTGTAGATGAGGAAACTCAGGGCTAAAGAGGAGGGGAGGGGTACAAGCATTTATTAAGTATCTATTATATATCAGGTACCTGATATTATATATCAGGCCTTTTTTTTTTTTTTACAAATATTAACTCATTTGAGCCTTACAACAACCCTGAGAGGCAAGTGCTATTATTTTTTTCCATTTTACTGTTGTGGAAACTGAGTCATACAGAGATTAAGTGACTTGCCCAGGGTCTCACAGCTAGTAAATTTCTGAGGCAGGATTTGAACTCAGTCTTCTCAATTCCAACTCCCACACTCAATCCATTGTGCCATCTAGCTGCATTAAGAGGTGAAGTGACTCACCCTGGGTCAAACAGATATGGTAGTGTCAGAGGCTCTATTCAGCCCAGTTCTTTCTGAATCTAAGCCCTATAATATCAAGCTGCTCTTCTGTGTCAATTAGTGCAGTGTATTTACAAGATCTTGTGTTTGGGATGACCATTCTTTCAGGTTCTTGATTGCTCATCCACCATATAAATAGACCACAATGTTTGGTGAAGAGTTACAGTGAGAGTCTTTCTTGGAAACGTTCTGCTACTAGGATTGTAGCAACAAGCTACAAGGACACATTAATCCCTACATTTTAAATTAATTTCTATTTTCCCCTCAGAAACTACAGCCATCTTATTGGAAACAATAAAATCAACCCTGTACCTTGTTGCATGGCATTTCATAGACTCATAAAATCAGTTTATCATATTATGTCATTTCATGCATCGTAGTTGGCTCTCATTAGGAATGATGAGGCTTTTGTTTTTGCTGTTGATCCCAAATCAGATGTTTACATATGGTAAACTGCAAGGATTTTCAAAGTCAGATTTGCTCTGCCTAATTTTAATGCCCCATGTCCCCTATCTTCCTGTAAGCCTAACAAATTATCACACACTGGACTCTTTTTGTTTACACTAGTCTCAGAGAACTTTTACAGTTGAGTATATTGTTGTTCAGCATATGGTAGTTGAAGATGCAAACCTGCAGATCACTGTGATAGAATTATACTAGTCTCTTGGAAAGAAAGCAAAACTTACCCTATGAAATGAGGAAAAGATGAAAAAGAAATGTTTAAATGTGAAAACAAAACCCCCATATTATTTTCCAAAACATCAGTTATAATTGAGACCAATTATTGCAACACTTGATATATTTTCTCCTTCTGAATTGTCTTCTTTTGTGTTCTTCATGTAACTCTTATGAAGAGTTTTTACCTGATAGGTTCCAGAATGAAGGGGTATTTCAAAAGAAGCAACATTAAGGGTTATGATGGCACAGTGGATAGGTGTTTGGAATAAGGAAAACTTGGATTCAAACCTTTACTAGTTGTATGACTCTCAGCAAGTCATTTGTCATCTGTGTGCCTCAGTTTCCCTGTCTGCAAAATGAAGGAAATAGAAACAGTGATCTCTTAGTTCTGTTCCAACACTGAATCTCTGTGCCTATGGCACATATTCCTGAAAAAGAAAATGGCCTGAATATGTGGTAAGAACAAGAAATAATTTATACACTGTTTATTGCCATATTGAAATGCCAATAGAAGATAAGGAAGGCCCCAGGATTCTGGTGGATCCTCTGTGCCTAATTTACACAAAAACATAGAAGTGAGTCATACCAAATGGGTAAGCATTGAGATGTTATGATCTGCATCTTTAGAGGAAATACTCAAAAAATGATTGGAGATTCAAGACAAGAGGTCAGAAGAAAGGTTAGCATTGACTTTTTTTTTTTCATGATGAAAGAAAATTAATCTTTAATTGGGGGAGGTCAGGTTTTAAAAACAATTCTGTTGATAGACTATGTTTTGTAAGACTGAAATCTTGGTTGTCTGAAATTATTCTAGGCAAAAGAACTTCTAAAGAATCTAAAGGCATACCTTTGAAAAATTCAATTTAACTTAATAAGCACTTATTAAGTACCTACAATATGCTAGTCTATGCTAGGTTCTAGTAATACAAAAGCACTTATTAAGTACCTACAATATGCTAGTCTATGCTAGGTTCTAGTAATACAAACACAAAGATGTGTACAGTCCATGTATTCAACAAGGATGCATTCTACTCGGGGAGGGGGCTTGTTGTTTTTTCTTGTGTTCCTCCTTCTTTCTCGAAGAAGACCATGACATCAGGGAGATGAAGACATGACTTACAATTGATTTTGTTTTGAGTGAGGGAGGACTGTGCAAGGGCACCAGCCTCACTTTCTCCTCCAGAGCCATCTGGATCCAGTGGCCAGATATTTATCAGGATGACTGGAGATAACCCAGGATGCAATGGGAGTCCCAGGCCCTTTTAAGTTAAGGTCTTTTCAGGTTCTCACTTTGAGTGAGGCAATACCCATTCAGTGAATAAGCCTCTTTTAGAAGTGAGTCAAGGGATGGCCCCTTTAATAATTAAAAAAAAAATCAAGCTGAGAGGGAAAGACCCTCAGGGTTTCTGGCTAAAAGAGAAACAGTTTCTATTTACATTCACTCTGAATCTGGAGGGTCCAAAACATAACCTTTAAGTGGTGCTTGTGCAGGGACGTATTGTTGTCCAATCTATGAGTTCCAAAATGAATTGAGTTTAAGGCTTGGTCTTTGAGAAAGAAGTCTAGCCAGGAAACCCCAAGTTAAGTAGTCAGCTACAAAATATTAAGAAATTGGTAAATACACTTAAATAAAAAGTTAAAAAATGGATAAAGGTGCACTGATAAGTAGAGAAATCAGGAGAGGCCTTTTAAATGAAATAGTATTTGAGAGAAACCTTGAGGAAGATAGAGGTTGACTAAAGTATTTGTAAGGGTGGAAAACATTCCAGGCATGGAGAATAATATATGTGATAGAACAAAGATGGTAGCTGGAAATTAAGTAAGTGAAGAGAGCAACAAATAAGCTAGAACAGGAGGTCTTAACCTGGAGTATATGGAGACCTCTAAGTAGTCTGTGGATACATTTCAGGAGGTCAATGGATTTGGACAGGAATAATTACATATTTATAATAACAACAACATCAATGATAATTTCTGGCACTTTAAGGTTTGCAAGCCACTTTGCAATTATTATGTCATTTTGTTGAGGTTTAGAGGTGCTGGAACCCCAATACTATGACACATGGATCCTGCCTGAAAGAATTCGACCCAAGCCTTCTTTCAGCCAAAGACAAGGTTTATTAGAGCATCCCTCATATTGGGCAGACTCTTAAGGAGTCTGAATGTTAGTGAGCTGTTGGCTAGATTGTAAAAATTGAAGCAATGGCTAGATTATAAGAATCTAAGTACCTTAAGGGAGACAAGATGGACCTCATATACAGAAAGACTGTGGGAGGGATCTAGGAGTGGCCAAGTAGTTTGGGGTGACTGGAGGAGGGGTCTAAGGAAGATCTGGATGGGAGTGGCCAGTAAGTTTGAGTGAACAGAACTCCTGGGACCTGGACCACATGGCCGAGGAAGAATGGAGCCTAGCTAGGATTAAGGGTGGGAAATGGCTGGGGGCCATAGGGAGATAGGAAAATTGAGAGCTAGACTAGGTTAAGGGTAACAGAATTGGGAGATTGGGTGTAGCTACAAAGAAAGGCCAGTTGATGGGATCATAGCTTCGGGAAGGCCAGATATTTGGCCATGTGGGAAAGTCCAGGGTTTTTCCTTTTTGGAGTCTAGATCCTATCCTCATCAATTTCATCCTCAAACCTTTGGGAGATAGATGATATTAGCCCAGTTTATGTATATAAAACTTGAGACAGAGCTATTCACAGTTAGCAAATATCTGTGGCTAGATTTGAACTCATTCTTCTTGACATCAGGACCATCTTTGTATCCAGTGTACCACCCAGCTGCTTCTTTTTTCCCCACTAATCTCCAACTGAAATTCATCATTCCCTTCCATTCCCAGGGAGGTACTAAATGTCATTCTGAGAAGAGGTTCATAGGATTTTCCAGACTGCTGAAGTGGTCTGTGGCACAAAAACAGTTAAGAACTCGTGGGCTAGAAGGAAATATATGTGAGAGAGTATTAATGTGAGTAATGTTAATAAACCCTGTGAGAGAAGCTGGATCTAAATTGTGAAGAGGTTTACATGCCAAACAGCTGAGTTCATATTTTATCGTAGAGACGTTAGGAAACTCTGAAGTTTCCTCAGCAGGATTGGATCCGAATTTTAGGAATATCATTTTGGCAGCTGTGTGACAGATGCAATTATTCCATAGTTACCAGATGTAGGATGTGGATTATCCCTTTAATCACTTTTGAAAGTTTGTAGGTGGAGTGGGAGGAATGGTCTCTTACCTTAGTCTCTCCCTTGAGTTACTACTTTGAAGCACTGGGATCTCTAAACTGGGGATCCCCTCCCCCATACACTCCAATTTGTTCTTTACCAGGCTGGTGGGAGGTCAACAATGTGTTAAAACATAGGGTACTTTATAATAGGAGGATTGAATATTGAATATTGATTCTCTGGTTTTCAACCATTGAGTGTCCAAGGATCTCTGGCTAAGTGTGGACTGTAGTCCATTAGAATAGAAGGCATGCTGGAAAGTTATACTTCCTGCCAGCATCACGTGTACTCATTTAATTCCACTCCCTCTACCATTCCATAACTCAATGTAATTGATCCTTAGCTACCTTTGTAAATGTGCTATAAACAACAGAAGTTGATAGATGAAAGTCACGTGATTATGATAAAGGCAAATACCCACAATTTAGGAGGAGGTACAACATTAATTATCAGATGTCATAATTAAAGAGTTGAAAGGTTTTCCCCTAAAAAAACTTTTATATTTATGCATGAAGATTATTTAATTCAAATGGCTCTAAATGGGAAAGTATGATAACTAAATCAGATCAGTCTTTTAAAAAAATTCAGCACAATGAGGAATTCCCTCTAGGAAGGTGTATTAGCAACTGCCTCTCAAAAGGTATTACCTGGGGTTTTGAGAGATAAATTGATTTATCCACAGTCACACAATCAGTATATATCAAAGGCAGAATTTGAACCCAGTTCTTCTTAACTCAGAGACTAACTCTTGATGATAACGATGATGATACATTTATATACCATTTTAAAGTTTGCAAACCACTTTACCATTATCGTCTCATTTTATTCTCACTGTATCCTTGGGAAAAGGGTACTCTTATTATTCTCATTTTATAGATGAGGAAACTGAGGCAGATAAAAAGGTCACATAGAAGTATCTGAGACAGGATTTGAACACATATCTTTCTGACTCTAGGTCCATTATTCCATTCAATACACAATGCTGCTTCTCAATAATACCAGTAATAATAGCATTAATATTACTGATACTAGATCAGCAATCTAAGAAAACAAAATCTATCATGTTAAGATTTTCTCTCTGCATTGTCTTCCAATGGTAGATATTTTTAAACTGGAGGATGTCTCTTTTTGAAGACTCATTAAAAATGGTTTGAAAAATATTGAGTTTTGAGGAGTCAATAGCTTTCCTGTAACTTAGCAACCAAAAAAAATGTGCATACATAATGGTGCAATAGCTATCTTCAGGTATTAAAATATATTAAGCTTTAGCCTCAAGTATTTTTTTTAATGATTTTTAAGCTTGTTGCTATCCAGAATCATTAACTTTAGGCAAAATGATAAAAATGGCTTTGCCTTCTCAATGAAACCTTCACTTTTGAAGTAGAGGCTGAATTGACTCATATTACATGCGAACAAAGCTTTCCCCAATGTGAAACAAGTGTTCTATCCAGTAGAGAATATGAGAGCCATCTAGACATTTGTATTTTCCGGTAATGGAGAAGTTATTCCTTCATACGCAGAAAAAAATGTTTTTTTTTTCCAAAAGTTTTTAGCATATATAGTAACAACTCTATTATTTACCTTGGAGTAGGATTTTTAGCAGATGTTATTATGTACCTCATGTTGATAGCCTCTTTACTCACTCTTCCTCATGTGACTGATGTTTTTTCAGTGAATTTCGAGAGTTTGAGAATGGTTCCATCTGTGTGGAATGTGACCCCCAGTGTGAGAAGATGGAAGATGGCATCTTGACATGCCATGGACCGGTAAGTATGAAGTAAATGTGATATCATAACATCACTGTAGCTGTGCATTTTAAAGGACATACAAATATGCTTATGATAGCATTGTTTCATTTATTCATTCATCTAATTTATATGCTATGATATAGTACTTTCACATATACCAGAAAGGAGTGAATACTACCAAAGCATGTAAGATAAATTTCCTGTTCTCAAGAAGCGTATAATCAGGGCAGCTAGGTGGCACAGTGGATAGAGAACCAGTCCTGAAGTCAGGAGGACCTGAGTTCAAATCTGACCTCAGACCAAATACTTGACACATGCTAGCTGTGTGACCCTGGGCAAGTCACTTAACCCCAATTGCCTCTCAAAAATAAATAAATAAATGAATGAAAAATAAAAAAAATAAAAGAAGCTTACAATCTAGTAGTGGAAATAAAGTCACAGATAATGAAACTCAAGCAGTGTAGTTATAATATGCCATTAAAAATGGTACAAACCAATTATATCAATTGTTGTAGGTGTTTGTAGAGAGGAAGGACATTCTCAACAGGGAGTGATCAAGAAAGGCTCCATGGGGGACAAGGACTTGAGGATAATGTAGCATGCAGATAAGTGCTGCTTATTTGACAATTACACTTAAAGGAGACCCTTCTTTTTTGTGACAATTCATCCATGAATTATTCTAATTATTATTATTAAAGTCACCATGGCTTTTTCATCCCAAATTATCATAATAAGCCATCACATCACAATTCAAGGGATAAGTATTTTCAAGTCTCACCTAATCTTTAGGTACCTACAAATGTAGCAGCAAAGATTTCCAATGTAGACAAACATTAATCCAAAAGGAAACATTAAAAATGTGAATATTTTCCCATATTTGTTTTGTTTATCACCAAATTTAGGAAACATCTACAATCTTCCTTTTCCATTTGGTCTGATCACAAATTTATGCTAGCTAGGCTGAGTTGGGCTTTTACCATAACTCAGCAAATCATTTATTAGTTCTTCCAAACCTTTCACTCTTTCCTTAATTCCAACCATAACCTTATCCCTCACTCAAAATAGATAACTTTGACTTTTTTAAAAGTAAAAAACAAAAAAACAACATTTTAAATATATTTGTTCTCCAAATTGACTCACTTACCAATTAAAACACATCCTTTCTCCCTTTCTCCCCTTTACCCTCTTTCCAGTGTTAACTTCTTTGGTCCTTGAGACCTCAATCCCGATGTTTCTCATCTCTTTTATAACCTTGCTTTGTCATTTATCCCCTTAGTTTCTTGCACCTTTAGTCTTTCTGTGTATAAGGATTAGTTGGATCTGTCATTTAATTTATGTAGGAAACTCCCAGATGAGGAAACTTATTCTGTTCATGCAGGTCACTACCTTCTCTGAAATTTAGAGGCCTAGAAAGTTGCCTAGGAAATCAGATGAGTTACGCAGAATCACACAACCATTAAATGTCAGAAGTCAACCTCTTTCTGGCTCTGAGGTCAGGTCTCTACTGCCTTTCTTTTTCCATGTATATTTTCATTTTCCCTTTCCTAAGAAAACATTTCTTGATTCAGTCCCTTCTTCAAATTTTATATTGTCTGTTTGCATTTCAGGGCCAAGTTTCTAGAAAGAGTGATGTCTGTTCTACTTTTTCATGATTCACTTGCTCTTTAACCCTTTCTTATCTGGCTTCTATTTCCCAGGTTCTGATTCACTCTTATTGAGCTCCTCAACAGCATGATCTGTCTTTTTCCCTTTCTTTGTATCACGAACACTTAATAGAGTGCTTCACATATAGTAGATGCTTAATAAATGTTCTACCTGCCTGAAATTTATGATCTTTAGGTGGTGGGACTTTGGATCCACTGAACCCCATTAAAACAGAGACTAGTTTTATAACAGAAATATTTAAGGAAAAGAAGAAAGCTTATACACTTCTGGGAGAATTTCTTTTGTATATTATATTTATTTGTTCCTATGTATTATTCTTCTCCAAATCCTACTAGATTTTAAGCTCTTTGAGGTAGGGACCATATCTTAGTATCTTCACCTCTGCTTGCCCTGTCCCTTAGCATAGTTGAATTGAATATAAGTAAAATGGCAGTAGGTTGTATTACAATCATTGCTATTACAATTAAACAAGCAGTAACCAACTTAATTGTTTTAGTGTAGATAGTCTTGGAATTCTCAGACATTAAGTGGTAGATCTTGGATAGTTTAAGAGAGGATTTGCTTAAGAAATCTCAATTTTATTATGCCTGGGTACAGGCAGCATTAAGATAGCAGTAACCAGTCAGGTCAGGAGGAGGAGCGCAGGAAATCCAGTTGTAGGGGTATATGAAGGTCAGGAATATAGTTACTCTGGAAAAGCTTAAAGAATCTGGCAAGTTTTGAAAGTCAGATCACGGAGTCATTTGAGTCAAGGGAATCAAAGGGCATGAGTGATCTAGCAAGGTCATAGGTGGTGAGGTTTTAGAGCCTCAGAGCCTCAAAGCCATTGAACTAGTGAACAGAAAGTTCTGATTATAGGCTAGTGTGTTTTCTGCCCCCTCACATTTTATTCTGAATTTTCATGGTCCAAGAAAGAGACAGTTCTGAAGCATCATGAATGCTGTGGCTGATTCTATTGATGGTAATGATGCAACGTTTTGGAAAGTTTCTTTCAGCATTAGCAGTGGTAGCACATGCCTCTAGGCCCCTCTGTAGCCCATTGTTCTCTTCCCTTTTATCTAGTTTGTTTCTTGTTTCTCCCTGTAAATATTATTAAGATGTATGTGAGACAACCTATTGCTTTCCTTTGGTTTATTTTACTGATTTAAATGTAGGCAGCTAAGTAAAATATTGAGGACAGAGTATCAGGTGCATTCAGGAAGATCTGAATTCAAATCCAGCCTCAGACATAGTTGTGTCATGGTGGGCAAGATACTTAATTTCTCTAGGCCTTAGATTCCTCATCTGTAAAATGAGGGCTCAAAGGCCTCTAAGATGTCTCAATTTATGACCCTATGGCTCTTACAAAACTATGTCTGAGACAAAAATCTAAGAGAAGGCGGCTCTGAGAGGAAATTCTCAAAGGTCACTTACCTAATGGAGGATGTTGTAACCAAAGCCCAGGCTTTTTTTTTTTAATCCTTCAAGATTATTACAGCACACTGAAAAGGAACCCCAATTTTCTAAATCACACTTTCAGTGAAAAGAGTGCTGAACCCAGGATCTGAATTCAGATCCCACTTCTATCACTTAATACCTGTCACTTACTCTCTGTGGGCCTTAGTTTCCTCAACTGGAATAATAAAGAGGGTAGAGTAAATTAACTCTGTAGTCTTTTCCAGCTCTATGACTATCATTCTGTGAACCTAGCACCTCACTTTGGGGTTCACTCCAGACTTTCTCCACCATACTGAAGGAATCTCTTCTTCCTGAAAGCTTACTCCAGCCTTAGAATTTGCATATTGGAAGTATCCTCCACCCCTGCAGCCTCTAAAACTTATTGGTTGGCTGTTGCTAGAACTTCCACATACAGAAGGCACTTGGCCTAGCCTTGTCTTTATTCACCTCCAAACCACATTCCTGACTCTCCCAATTTGACCCACATATCCCTATCATTTTCCTTTTTTAAGCTTTTTCTTCTCCCCTTAGAATGGATGTTTCTTGAAGGAGAGTACTGGCTATCTTTCTGCCTTTATTTGTAATTACACTAATTAGCACAAATGCCTGGAGCATAGTAAACTCACAAAAAAAAAGTTTGTTGATTGGTAAGACCTTCAGGACAGTCGTTGCTTTTTATAAGTGAGGTTGAGAATTGCGGTAATTATGTGGTCTGCTATGGTGCTGTACCCATTTGTCTGTCATATGATGCATGGATTCATCTGGATTAGAGACAGAAACCAAGAGACAGAGGCAAAACTATAAAGGAAAAAAAAATTGAGAGACAAGAGAAAAATAGTTTTCTAAATCCTTTTTAGATTCAAGTTTTACTTACTTATCAGAGAGAAATAGTGCTTCTTCACTTAGAGAGATATGCAGTCTGTACCTTCTGGCTTTCAGCCAATCCTCAGATGGTGATCTAGATTTTTAAGTTAAGAGGTGGCCTGTAGTCAAAGATAAGAAGAGGATATTGTCTCCATTTCCATTTTCACTCATCATGTTTATCAGTTCATTCAAAGCACTTAGGTTCTTTAGGGGTTTAAGTCAAAATAATGAAAGTTTAAGTATGTAAAATCAAATCTATAGCCATCTGAGTTCCTTTAAATTTCTTTCTTATGGTAATGAAAGTGGAAGTCAGTTTTCTTTTTCTTTGACTTTTTTATCATTTGTTGAATTTTATCATGTTTAGAAATCCACTTATGCTTTTAAAAAAAAATCATGTATATCTGGTTTGAGACATTTAGAAAACTAGGCAGATAGAACAGACTTTACCTGATCATATTTAAAGCTCAAATGCAAATGAAATTTGAGTTTAATGTTTGTATTGCCTTTGTCTCTTTTGCCCAGCAGGTTCATTTTTACATTATATAATTCTTAATCCAGCACAGAAAAAACCAATTGACTCATAGTAAGCCTTTCTTTCCCCCAAGCTCAGCAAGAAGACATCAGCAAGTCTATTGTCTTGTAGGATAAATTAGCTGTAGTACTGTGCATGCTTGTGCAGTAAATGATTTCTTTTAATAGGCAACAATATGTGCATAACTGCCCAAGAGCAGGTGTTATCATTGGAAAAATGAAAACTGTACTTTTTGGGGAGGGGGTAAGAAGTCATCATTAGCAGTCTCTTCCTGGTGAATAGTTATTAGTATTCACAGACTAGGTGCTCTTAAAGCTATGGGTAGGAGGCCAGAAGGGCAGCAAGATGGCACAATGGATAGAGTACTGATGAGGTCTAGAGGTTAGGGGTCCTGGAATCCCAAAATCAAATCACGACACTCAAATCCTGCCTGAAAGAATTTGACCCAAGCCTTCTTTCAGCCAAAAACAAGGTTTACTGAAGATTCACCATATTAGCTAGACTCTTAAGGAATCTGAGC